TATATATATATATATAAAAGATATAGAAACATAAGAATAAAGTTAATGTCTGCAATATCAGGAAACTCCGTTTTAAAAAGTGCACGAAAAAATTATAGAAGAAAAAAACATCGGTCTGGAGAAACTATTATCAAGTACACCTAAAATTATCACATCTACGAGCAATGCACCATAGGCAAGTATGCGATTGGGATTGAATGCGGGCGGACATATTAACATAGAATGCTGAAACAGAGTTAGAAGTCGGGTCTGCGACATGCATTAAACATATGCCATATAATAGCCGCGCAATTCTGAATTATACATCCGTAGCGAAGATAGCCGACTTGAGTGTCCGCGGAATTGTTTCACTTTTTTGGATAACCGAAGCCGTCTCTATGTACGATAACGATACTCGGTGCACCGCACGAGGACGAGAGAGTTCTGAGAGTTATGGGATATTTCTTAGCGCGAAAGAGATTAGATCGTAGTCGTTAAGTCAGCACAGACGATTCGAAAAACCGATTGTGGCACGATAAGTGTATCATTTTGTGTTGCAATCTTGTGAGTCTTACCTAAAACGATTATAACGTGTCTCGTAAAGTAATTTTGTTTTACAATATAAATGATCTTTCATCGATTTTTCAAGCTGAAACTGCAAGTTGATACCTATTTGAATTTCTTTACAAAACTTTCTGTACAAAAATACACATAAAAACTTTCTGTTCTAAGTTAAAAAAGAAAGATACAGCATTAAATAAAAATATCTTCTCTATAAGAGATCTTTAATTTTTCTCAAATTTTAGATATGTCGCTGATAAAAGATAATTTATACGATATTTTGAATATAAACTTGCGCACCATTTCTGGTATATTATAAATATTCTTGCTATAAAGAGGAAGAATAAATATACGGCCACAATTTATTTTTTGTATCAACATTTTTAGATAAAGTAAAAACTGTTATTGTATTGAGAGAGAGAGAGGAGAGAGAGAGAGAGAGAGAGAGACAGGTAAAAGTTGCAGTAGCTTCCAATTTGTCGATGGCTACTACCGATATTTATAGCAATACCGTTTAAATGAAGTAGGCATATCATGGGGATTGTGCAGGTGTAACAAACATCCTACATGCAGAGGCAGGTCTACCCGGAGATGTATCTCGAAATAAAAAGTGAGCAAAAGGTGCTCGAGACGCCTACAGTCTCTGGCCCATCGGACCCAGCGATCTGCCGGAGAATCGAGCATTGGACAAGACAATCGTACACGAGAGAAAAGGAGAGAGAGAGAGAGAGAGAGAGAGAGAGAGAGAGAGAGAGAGAAAGAGAGAGCTCCCATTGCACTATGTGCGGATGCATCACGGCACGAATACGAATGGCCGGAACGACGACCGGAGGTGCGTAAGATAGGAATTCGCATTCCTGGCCATATTCGGCCCCCGCTCGCGTCGCCTTCTAACTCTTTCGGGATGTCGCGACTACCGAGACATGTCGCAGTATATTTGCATTCGCGCGATGCGCTTTCGGTTGTTAAACTACTAAGTTACGCGTGGATCTTTGCGCAGAATACTGAAACACGAACACATTTGAACCAACATATGTCAGCTACTCAAGATAGATCAGCAAAGTCAAAGAAGTTTAAATTAATTTAAGTCAATATTTTTCTTATTGCAATGGTATCTTGCGTAAAAAAAAAGAAATATTTTCCACATATCATATAGATGATGAAGTTAAGCATTGTCCACTTACCTTGGATATCGCAGCTCCTAAACCAGCTTGACAAGAACCCTGTCTGTGGTAGCCCCAATACCCTAAAACGGAAACAGACAATTATATCGTCCCATCCTTGATTGTTTTAAACAGAGACATCATATCTCGACAGTATAATTTGAATAAATTGTTTCCTATTGCGTAATCTGTACGAGATATATATATAAATCGTAGATAATTTTTAAATAATTGATTAAAGCTCAAAAATTGAAATAGTAATATATAGTACAATTTTTTTTCCTATGTTAAAAATTAATCCTTTGTCAGTATATAGGACTTTCTCGTGAGAACAAGAGCTTTATAAATTACTTGTTTTATATGCCAAATGCGAATTTTTAAAATTTCTCAATTATATTATTAATGTTCTAGGAATTAAAAACGTTTGACATATAAAAATAAGTTATAAAACTTTTGTAATTGATGTTTGTATGGTCAAGCACCCTAAAATATGTATATAAAATAATAACACAATTACTATTTTACGGTCCAAATTTTTTAATAATTATTCAATAAAATTTAATGCAACTAAATTTTTATGAGCGTTTTTTGTGAGTGACAGTGCAATGAACATTTGAGGAAGAATAAAACATAAACAAATTTAAAAAGATAATAAAAAGAAAAAACAAGACTTATGTGTGTTTTATAGCTATATGTGTTTTATAGCTCTATACCTTATTATAAAAGATAATGAAACTAAAGTTTATTTTTATTTATATTTTTTTTAATTAAAAGATAGATTCAAATAGATATCAAAAGATCCTGTAAACATATTAAACAGACATGTGCACGCACGTTCTTGGAATTCCACGTACTTTAGAAACTAGGAAGTGGAATGGCATCGCAAACCGGCAAAATGCGTACATAAACGCGTCATTAAACCCAGATCGATCTTCCGCCGTGACGCCTTCACTATCCGTTTTCTCCGTTCGAATCGTCGTGACGAGTCGATAGTGCAAGCTGCACATTTTACATCAGCAATCATGAACAGCGTGATTTGGGAAATGGTCACCGAGTTCCTACGCTCGTTAACTAGATAACGCAACAGCACTTTTAGATAGGAACTTTTAGACGGACGGTAATAATAGCAGGTCGGAGAGATCGACGACAATTCCACCGAAATTCTTTCGATTTAAGATGTAAAAGGGCTCCGCGTGTTTTTGTTTTACTATTTATTTTACCGCGTGTTAAAACGAAATCGATTAATTGCTACACGATAACGCGAAGAACTTTGCTGAAAGGAATTCCATGCTAGACGAAGCAATGTGTTAATTATAAGCGCAGAGAGTAACACAATTCATAAAATTAAAAGGAAAATCAGTTTATCCTAATTAAATACTTTAAAAAGATTTGATTGTTTCTTAAAAACTGAGTATAAATGACAGAAAATTATATCGAATAATACAATTGAGTCATTTGAATGGAAATGCAATTATCAGAACAATGATAGAGAAATGATATTCAAGCATCTTTGTGATTATTCTCTTGAAAATCTTATCATAACAATATCCATATGTTCGTAACTAATCACTATCACTAACTGAAAATCTTATCTATTGTAATATCTCTATCCATTGTAATATCACTAATTGAAAATCATACTTATTGTGATATCAACATACGTAATAAATGACAAGAATAAAAAAATAATGGATCAATCCCATCGCTATAATTACGAAATTCTTACAATTAATTATTATCATTATTATTATCGATGAATCTTCGCTAATTCGAAGATAAATCTAGACAATTAACGCGAGGACATAAATCTGTGCACATCTCGACGAGAAACAGTGTTATACGGAAGCAACGAATCATCTGGGACTGGAAAGGATTATTTAATTCCTGAGGAAACAGATGATTAATTGATGATTAATCTACATTAATATGTATCTTAATTAGCTCTGTTGATTTTTACAGCCAGCTCGACACTACGCAAAGCGAATAGATGCAAAGAATTTGCGAGTTCCGGCTGTTAACGAGTCGATCAGTTCCGTAATTAGTTGCTAACTACAAGTAGAAAATTATCGGGCCAGAACTGACTGACAGTTAGGGTCAGTGCCATTCAGACTCGGCTGCTGCGGCGAAGCACAGCACGTCCGCAAGAAAATGCGTGCGTGCGTGCGTGTGTATGTGTGCGAATATCCGGTGGCTCGACCCGCAGAATCCGACCTTCTTCTACATGAATGTTCTATGTACTTGTATGTACGTTATGAGTGCAGCAGCAGCAGCAATCGAGTCTCTTGACAGTCGATCGGTCACTTTAGACGAGCTGTCAGTCACGCAATTACATCAATCCGGTCATCTTCGTCGTCGCCATCGTTGTCGACAACGAAAAAGTAAATATAAAACAAGCGATCGGCGCCACTCCTCGAACATCGGTGACACGCATGTTGCTTCCAAAACAGTGGTGGAGCTCAACTTATAAGCCGATGAAAGTTTTAAATCACCGACTCTCAAAAAGTCTCGCAAGAATAATTTCACTTAAAGATATATCCGCAATCTTAACTAATTCTTTCGATTAGGTAATCTATTTTAGTTAATCTATTTTCTGACAGAATTATCGATACGAATAGAACTTGCATTTTTCATTAAATTAGAATGCTCGTACTGGATTACTTTTTATCGGTTGCTTTTAATTCCTAATGGTGCTAATTGGATCGTTGAAAGTTATTATCGGCGAATCGCAATAATAGTATCATCCGTGAAGTAACAACGAATGTGCGTCCGACCGCGATCGTCAGTGGTCGATCTATTTATAATCCGTCTCGTGCTTTGCTATTCTCGTCAGTAAGAGGCCACTCTGCTTTCAAACTCGAGTCGACAAAAACAGAGAAAAAGAAAAAACTTTTCTCATGTAACAAGGAAATTTTTTTTTTCTTGAAGAACCTCAATGACTCCGGTCGATTTGGTTCACGCTTTAAGCGCTTGTAATCATCATTCTGTCTTTATCGTTCATTAAACGTAAAATAAAAATAGAAGTACTGAAAAGCGCTGAAAGCGTCCAAATCGACCGCAGCCAATGTGTCACGAAATAATCCTAAATGTATTTATAAGATGAGTATCTTTTTTATGTGCGTTTGTTTTAGATGTGATAGCCAGATGGTAATTTAATAAATGGCGAAAGATTTTAAACTAAAGATGATTTTGGCCGTGAATGATTTTGACGATGAAGCTAATAAAGAAATCGGAGCGTTACAGGAGATGAGTCCAAGTTGTATGACTGACTCTTAATCGAGTTACGAGGAATGAATGGAGCTACTGTAATTCTTGTTGAACACACGTGCGTGTGTGCATGCGTCGTCGGTGCATAATTATGTATCTGCAATATGCATTATCGGGTTATTTCTTTTATTCAGAAATGAGGCGACATCACGATCATAATGAAAATATGTATTTTTATTCATTTCTACTATTTTTTAATTAAATTTTACGTCAATTAAAAAATTAGATTTTATCAATTAAGGTTAATTTCTTTCAATTAAGGAACTAGAATTTTTCACTTCTTTCGATTAATCTTATTTCACTTAAATATTCGATATAATTTCTTACATTTTATAATATAAATCTCACACAATTAAATATTGCGTAAAATTTCTTCAAGAAGATAATTCAAGGGAAAATCTTTCTCTTCAAAAAACGAATGATTCATTCTTCCTTCTAATACGAGATGAAGTACATTCAATAATTCATATTTAAAAAGATATTCTAATGAAACTGCAATAATGAGAGAGAAGGAATATTCTGTTGCTCGCTAGAGATCGGTAGCTCGATCGTAATTCAAGTAGGATTAAGTGCTAATTGGCCTCGTTAGAACGGTGCCGAGTTAGCGCCTTGGTCCGAGAGGCGCCTTCCAATTATTATTTTTTTTTTTTTTCGATTCTTCCCAACCACTCGAGCGAGTGGGCGCCTTTCATCGAGGAATGCACTTACTGTAATTCTCCATTGCTATCTTTCTTTTGTTAATTGCGCATGTGAAAAATATTTTCCTCATCTCGATTTGCTCTTTTTATTTCGAGACTATTAAATGTAGTAATAGGATAAAATATATTTCTTAGATAATAAGATAATTATGAGAAATAGCCAATAAGAAAGCAACCGCAACTAACATTACAAAATGATAAGTTATAAAACGTGAATTCTACTTTATGGAACATTCCTTTTTAATTAATGTTATGATATAATAGAAAATGTGGATTTAAAATTATATTTTACCGGTTAAGCAAAAGTCGAGCTTCAAAATAAAATTAAACCATCGTTTTATAAAATGTAAGCAGAATATGGATAACGTGACACTCGATCTAATTTCCGCATAATTGCATTTCGCGAAAATTATTCAAGAAATTTTACAATCAACTGCGTAATCATTCTTTTTAACTTGTCGGAATTGTTAGTATCATGTAAGAAATAGGGAATAAGAAACGGTTTCAAAGCGCAATAACTTTTATATTTTAAAAAGAATTATTTTATTATTAAAACAATCCTTTCATGTGTACATTCTTCAACTGTGTATACATAGTCTATAGTGCCATAAATTCTGTTATTAACTAGAAAAAATGTTTTAAATAAAAATTAATAAAAATTGAATGGTTTCACAAGTACTTTACAATCATAAAAATTTTTTTTATTAAAATAAAAAAATATTTTTTAATTATAATTATAAAATACTCTTAATCCCAACTTTTATTTAAAATATTTTTTTTTATCTCTCACAATTTCAACGATATTCATTTTGAAAAAAAAAATCATCTTTTTTCAAGGAAGATTTTCACTCTCTCAACGTGCGATTTAGCACATATAAAAAAATGTTTCTCTTAATTTTGTTTAAATTTTAACATCCTAAGTTTTAATATCCTAAGTTTATTAAAATTGAAGAGATTCAGTTGGTTGGTTTCCTTGTAAGAAAAATTGATTCATAGCTAAAATAAAAAGCAGCATGAAATGTGTACTTTTATTGAGTTAACAAGTCCAGAAAGTTCGTGCCGACTAACCTATATTTATATAATTTAATAAATGTATACTAAAATTTAAATTTTCTGCGTTTCAATTTTCCTTCAAAGTCGGCACGAACTTTCCGGACAACCCAATATAGAAAAATAAAACATAATCAAAAATATTCATTTCTTGATTTCACAAATTTTTTCAAACAGGCTTCAAACTCTTGTAGCATGTAGAATCTCGATGTTATTGCTTTCAAATCAGTCTTCAGTTCGATATTTAAATAAAATTAAAACAATCCCTTTTGTTTACATTTCAGAGAAAAGAACTAGTTTTAAATATTAATATTAAAAAAATTTATTTAATGAAGGCAATGCTGATATTTATTGAGATTTCATATGCTGTAAGAATTTGAAGCTCGACTGTTTCAAGATGAAGGCAAAAGATGAACATTTTTAATAATAATAATTATTTTTATTTTTTAATTGATCAATTTAGTGAAACAAGTACACATTTTCATTGTTCTTTCATTATACTGATGAAATAAATATATTTTTCTTGGAAATAGAATGTATGAAAACGATTATGTAATATTTAATATTTATTTTTAAAAAATGTTCTAGAAACTGTTTATTGTGGAAACTTTTTCATCACTTGTGATCTATTATGGCGATCTTACGAAGAAAATTACAGATAGCCCCTCACTGTCGCCTCTGCTTGTCCAGTGGACAACCATATGGTCAGACAAACAGACAGCAGAACGATGCGATGGATGTTTGATTCCAGAAAAGGCGATTATGAGTGACTTGATGTGACTCTGATGAACATTAAAGCAACGTCGACACGACGTTATAAACTCTGGATGAGATCTAACGCCTCACTAAAAAGATTCTACGATTCTCAAGAAAAGCGGCACCAAGCGGTTCGTTCACTCGTCTCGACTTCTACAAATTGTTTAATTGCGCGGTCATTACGGAATTTCTGGACGATGAGCTCACATCATTGTTGCCGTCGTTATCGAGGCTGCGGGTTCGCTTCCGTATTTTTGTGTTCTGCGAAGATTTTGCTTCGGCAAATTCTAATAATATTTATTTGGAAAATCGCTAGAATAGCTAACGTCACCTTTATAAAAAGATTCTTCTTTTGTATTTTTTACAACGACTTATAAATCTTTATATAATCTCTATTTTGTCATATATAATAATATAGAAATTATATTAATCCTAGAACACTACATTGAATGATATTGTAATATTGCTATCGATATGTAAATTTTACGTATAAAGAAATAGGCTGTTCTTATTTAACTTTATATCAAATTTTCATACGTTTTCATACACTTTTAATGATAAAATATTTGTAAGTTGGGCCTTTATGAACACAAATAACTTAGACATCTCACTTTTACGTTCAGAGCATCTATCATGGAACAAAGTCGGAATAGATTCTGATCGAAAATATTCTGTTTTTCCCAGAAAACACAATAGAAATATAGGAAATTGAATATAATTCCAATTCGGAATTCAATCCGATTTTGTTCCATGATAGGTGCCCTGATTAGTGTATAATGATTTTAACTGGTGCACTGAGTGTGCATCAGTTCTGTCAATGAAAAACGCTATGATATATAATAATACAAAACTGCATAATTAAATTGAAGTCACTTTTATTATGCACTCTGTTATAATACTGACTACCAGGGAATCAAAACTGATATACAGAGTATCCCACTTTAATTGTTCCAGATAATTATCTTAAATTATCTTTATCTTAAAAAATACAGAAAAAAATATGACGAAAATACATCCCCCTCAATAAGTAAAATTCCTCTTTTATACATTTTTTCGTATCTTATATATTTTTTTAATTTGCTTAGGGCAATTAAAATGAGACACTTTGTATATATAATAACGAACTGAATTTTTAAAAGCTTATCTCCGTTTATTTTAGTTTTTAATATGGATTGGACTTCCTTATTACTAAAGACACAGTTCGACTTTGCTCATTTGTACATATCGATATAGCGTTCTAGAGTTAAATAATATTAAATTAATAATAAATAGAACAAAAAAATAAAATTAAGATTTATTGACAAAATTTTTTAAAAAAAGTATATTAATTTGTAAATTATTAAAAGCAATAGCTATCAAATTTTTGTTACTAACAATTTCACTCAATTATTTACTTATTATTTCAAGATTATAATTATATTCTTTGATTTAATTATTCAATTTTAATTTGCGTTTAATTCAATATGTACGAAGAATGAATATTTGAGTCTTCCTCCGAACGACCGGAAGTGCGTCAGTTCGCGCGTCATAAAGCATGCAGTAGTGAGGGAATTGCCGAAATGTTTGCTCGCGCGTGAGGAAGCGCGCGACTTTATTTAATTGCAGGAAAGTGTAATTCTAAAAACACGCGTCATGTTATTTGCGTCCCAATAAACAAAACTCGTAAACTATGTTAATATAGACTACATGGTTTTGGCTGCATGAAGATTGTTACAAGATTTCCACATAGAAAACTTTCTAGAATTTAATTGAATTAAACTGGCGGATCCAATTTGATTTTAAAAAATCATAAAAAATCTACAGAATCTATAAGTGACAAAAATTAATATGACAAAAATTTCAGAAAAATAAAAAATGATTTGATGTACAATAAGGTATAAAGAAAAAAAATCATGGATCGATATCTAATTAAATAAAAGAATTTCTATTTTTTTATCAAAGCAAATCTTAATACTTATATTTCTATGTGAATTTATATATACATATCTGATTGCCGCATGTCGAAATCTTTCTCGAAATACAATCACGAACAAAACCAGAATTATGTAATCTCACATATTAAATTGACATATTAATTGAATTAATTTAATAATAATTTTTGATGCTAATAAACATAAAAAAATTACTAAATTATTCGATCAATATAATTTCTGAAAATAATATGAATGATTTACAGATTGCATTCTATTTGTATTCTATTTGTATCTGTTAATATTTGTTCAACGATGTCTTTGCCTCTGCATATTGATAACCACGAGATAAAAGTTAAATATGGCATTTTTTAAGGAATGTTATCAGAAAATACTAAAGTAATATTATCACGAGAAAAACAACCCATAAACTTGAAAGCTGGAAAGTGAATTCGAAATATATAAATTTAAAAATAAAAAGGTAATTTTTCAGTTTAGTTCAGTTTCAGATTGTTCTAAAAATTCACAAGAAATTCTAGATGATCTCTCTCTCTCTCTCTCTCTCTCTCTCTCTCTCTCTCTCTCTCTCTC